GTGTATGCGGATTGTGTGTTAGTGTAGCGGATGCAGAGTGTGTGTTAGTGTAGTGAATGCAGAGTGTGTTAATGTGTGGCGATTGCAGTGTGTGTCAGTATAGTGGATGCAGTGAGTGTGTTAGTGTGTAGTGTATGCAGAGTGTATGTTGTGTTAGTGTATGCAGTGTGTGTTGTGTTAGTATGTGTGTTGTGTTAGTGTATGCAGAGTGTGTGTTGTGTTAGTGTATGCAGTGTGTGTTGTGTTAGTGTATGCAGTGTGTGTGCTGTGTTAGTGTATGCAGAGTGTGTGTTGTGTGTGTTTGCAGTGTGTGTGTTGTGTTAGTGTATGCAGTGTGTTGTGTTAGTGTATGCAGTGTGTGTTGTGTTAGTGTATGCAGTGTGTGTGTTGTGTTAGTGTATGCAGAGTGTGTGTTGTGTTAGTGGTAACCGGGTCTCGCGAGAGTTATTAGAAGAGAGAAGAGAGGAGGAGAAGCTGTGTGCTGCCTGGGCCCCCTCTGCGGTAACAGGGAGCCAGGGGCCCGTGGCTGCACACATAGATAGCGATATTCGCTATGTGTGCAGAGAAAGAAAGTGGGGCCCGGGACTGTCACCCCCTGATGGCGGCCCTGCCAGGAGCTTTTGAGAAGGGCTGGCGCATTCCATTAGGCCACTTGGGCAATGACCTAGGGTGCCAGTTTCCAGTGGGTGCCTCCGGCAGCCTTAACAGCGTCTTGGTCTGTCTGGGCCACCCAGGCAGACCCAATAATGGACAGTATTACTGGCCACAGAAAGTCACATGTGGGAGGAAGGTACCAATAAGGCTGAAAGGAAGTGGAGCAGGGCAGCACTAAACCTGGTAGACAGCAGAGACAGAAATGTGAGTTCTATATCGGCTGATTCCAGTGCCCCCAATGACTCTCCCAAACCCCAACCAACCGAGAACAGAAGAGTCCTGGGAAATGTCAACCAGAAGTATGAGGCAACCTTCTACAGTCCACCATTAACCCCTTAAGGACACAACTTCTGGAATAAAAGGGAATCATGATGGAATATTTCCGTCATGTGTCCTTAAGGGGTTAAGGTACTAAGTGTAAAATGGCCAGCATGCAGTGAGTGACAATGAATGTGTGTGTGTGCCACTTCTCTATAGTGAGCGTGTGCATTTCAGTAAGCTTTTGTCCTTATGAGTAAATCTCTGGCTCTGACTGCACAGCCCTTTAAAAATAGTCCCTCCATGGTTCCTCGCAGTTCCTGCTCTCTGTGAGGGAGTCAGAGTAAAGGCGCCATGATTCCCAGGCTGTGCTTTGATTTCATTACAGAGCTTAAACCACTGGCTGCACAGGGAGCGCACTGGACCACCAAGGCATCCACCAGGGATTTTATCTGTGCTTCCCTTGTTGCCCAGGAGGTAAACAGGAGGGGAGCACATGACTGACCTCCCCAACCTTGTCACACTCAGCACCCTTCACTCTGTCACAATTCACTCCCCATCACAATCACCCCCCAACCCAGTCACACTCACTCCTCACCTTATCACACTTACCACCAGTCTCACCCTGCCACAAAAAACTTGTAACACTCCCCCCTCACCATGCCAACACTCACACCCTGTCAAACGCATCCTCTATCTCTGTCACACTCACCCACCTCCCAACTCTTGTACACATCTCCTTCACTCTGTCACACAGACCTCGTTCACCATGTCACACTTACCCCCCCAACCCTGTCACAATCACCCCCAAATGCTGTCAGTACCTCCCGCACAAGAAAATCTGCGTGACCACAAACTTAACACACAAAAACCACAAGCATCTCCCCTTACATATAACATGCGCATGCAACTACCCCACACACATACACTACCAGACAGAGACATACACGAGCACACCGAAACAGAGACACACATCGATGTTCAGGCACATACACAGGTACGCAATGCACAATATACAGATGCACTCTGTCAGAAATGCACACACACACACTCTCAGGCACATACACAAGTACATAATGCTATAAAAACACTCGGTCTTCCCCAGCCAACAAAGTGTTGTCCATAACTTGATGTCATTAGAAATGACCGAACGGCAAAATATGGACAATGGTTGCTGCATCTGTCCAACAGGATGTAGGTTCCAATAATGAAACAACCCTGGCCGAATATTGAATACGGATCTCCTGATCTCTTTCTCCCTGTGGGCTATTGTAACCACAGTCATGCAATCAACATCCTTACCTCGCTACATATACCTTATGTCATCCCATCTCCTTCCCCATCATGCTTAGTCGTTTTCCATTTATGCGCCTTTTCTTCTCCTCCATGACACCCTTATATCATTCCTTTTTCTTTTCCTTTTTCGATGTCCCTCCCCATTATTCTATGTGTTTCCAGCTGCCCAAGTTAACCCATGTTTCTCGTTAATTTTCACCACTAATTCCATCTGTCTCTCTCTTTATTCCATGGCCTATCCTCATTTATTCATTCTTACATTTCCTATATTAATTGTTTACCTTCTCCTCTACTCTCCACTTCATTCTACTTCCCCATCACTCAAATCTATCTCATTGTCATAGTGCTGGATGAGTGCCCAGCTTTACCTATATTTATCAGCAGACATTTGTACGGAACAAAAAATAGTTTTAACCAAACTACTAATTAATAAAAATTGTTAGGGAATCATATGGTGGTTTGGCTCGTCAGAATTTCAGTAACGAAAAAAGATTCGGAAAATGAGTCACACAAACCAGAAAAGCCAATCTGTGTACTACAAAATACAGGGAGTGCAGAATTATTAGGCAAATGAGTATTTTGACCACATCATCCTCTTTATGCATGTTGTCTTACTCCAAGCTGTATAGGCTCGAAAGCCTACTACCAATTAAGCATATTAGGTGATGTGCATCTCTGTAATGAGAAAGGGGTGTGGTCTAATGACATCAACACCCTATATCAGGTGTGCATAATTATTAGGCAACTTCCTTTCCTTTGGCAAAATGGGTCAAAAGAAGGACTTGACAGGCTCAGAAAAGTCAAAAATAGTGAGATATCTTGCAGAGGGATGCAGCACTCTTAAAATTGCAAAGCTTCTGAAGCGTGATCATCGAACAATCAAGCGTTTCATTCAAAATAGTCAACAGGGTCGCAAGAAGCGTGTGGAAAAACCAAGGCGCAAAATAACTGCCCATGAACTGAGAAAAGTCAAGCGTGCAGCTGCCACGATGCCACTTGCCACCAGTTTGGCCATATTTCAGAGCTGCAACATCACTGGAGTGCCCAAAAGCACAAGGTGTGCAATACTCAGAGACATGGCCAAGGTAAGAAAGGCTGAAAGACGACCACCACTGAACAAGACACACAAGCTGAAACGTCAAGACTGGGCCAAGAAATATCTCAAGACTGATTTTTCTAAGGTTTTATGGACTGATGAAATGAGAGTGAGTCTTGATGGGCCAGATGGATGGGCCCGTGGCTGGATTGGTAAAGGGCAGAGAGCTCCAGTCCGACTCAGGCGCCAGCAAGGTGGAGGTGGAGTACTGGTTTGGGCTGGTATCATCAAAGATGAGCTTGTGGGGCCTTTTCGGGTTGAGGATGGAGTCAAGCTCAACTCCCAGTCCTACTGCCAGTTCCTGGAAGACACCTTCTTCAAGCAGTGGTACAGGAAGAAGTCTGCATCCTTCAAGAAAAACATGATTTTCCTGCAGGACAATGCTCCATCACACGCGTCCAAGTACTCCACAGCGTGGCTGGCAAGAAAGGGTATAAAAGAAGAAAATCTAATGACATGGCCTCCTTGTTCACCTGATCTGAACCCCATTGAGAACCTGTGGTCCATCATCAAATGTGAGATTTACAAGGAGGGAAAACAGTACACCTCTCTGAACAGTGTCTGGGAGGCTGTGGTTGCTGCTGCACGCAATGTTGATGGTGAACAGATCAAAACACTGACAGAATCCATGGATGGCATGCTTTTGAGTGTCCTTGCAAAGAAAGGTGGCTATATTGGTCACTGATTTGTTTTTGTTTTGTTTTTGAATGTCAGAAATGTATATTTGTGAATGTTGAGATGTTATATTGGTTTCACTGGTAATAATAAATAATTGAAATGGGTATATATTTGTTTTTTGTTAAGTTGCCTAATAATTATGCACAGTAATAGTCACCTGCACACACAGATATCCCCCTAACATAGCTATAACTAAAAACAAACTAAAAACTACTTCCAAAAATATTCAGCTTTGATATTAATGAGTTTTTTGGGTTCATTGAGAACATGGTTGTTGTTCAATAATAAAATTATCCTCAAAAATACAACTTGCCTAATAATTCTGCACTCCCTGTATATACATAATATAAATATTACGGATACCTTTTTACAGTATATTGAGAGGCGCATTTTTTACACCATTAAGTTCACCATTTTTTATATGTAATGCTTAATAGAAGACAAATAGTGAGTCCTTACTCCATACAAGTAGTCAGAAGAAAAAGGTACTCTAGGCACGCCATCAATTTAAGCAGCATTATTGGACATGAACAGACATTGAAACGTTGCGGCCCACAACGGGGTCTTTGTCTCGCTTCACAAAGGGCCCGTTGTGGGCCGAAATATTCCAATGTCTGTTCGTGTCCAATAAAGCTGCGTGAATTGATGAAGTGTCTGGACCATGTTCTTTTTCTGACTACTTGACATTGGGGGATTTCCAGCCCTTGCTCAAGAGCACCCCAGTACTGTTTATGAGTGTGTATTCCTTCTCTAGTGTGGACTTACTCCATACAAGAACTTTGATAGATTATAAGTTAGATTTCCTCAACACAAAATGAGTGGGTTGGCATTGAACTCTGAGGATTCCTATCATTTTTGTCAAACAAATTAAAACACTTGTCTACCTTTCCCACACCCTCTTCAGACAGCCATCTTTGTGCACCTTTGATCAGATTGTCCGTTATCTGACCCATGCTCACAATTTTGCTAAATAGTGAGTATATTGGGTCAGATTGTTACTGACAATCTGACCAAAGGTGCATAATGATGGCTGTTCTACAGAAAGCGTGCGAAAAATAGGCATGTGATTTCTTCACAATATATATAACCGATGAAAAAATCAATTAGGTAAAAGAGTAGATAATATAAAGTTTATATTAACATATTAAAAAATGTTGATGACAGTGTTCCTTTAACAACTGATGGGCCTTAGAGAACTTCTTATTCTATATGAGCCGGATATTCTATGGAGGCATTAGGTCTTAATGATGTTGACAAACACTGTTCTGAAGATTGTTAATTTTCGAAATTAAAATAATATAAGCCGAAAGGAGACATAAACCAAAGCCGCCATTTCATTGGTGGTGTTAATAACTGAATTCCTGTGACAACGTGAGATTTACCAATCATCTTTCATTACAATTTAAATATCATGACATTTAGGTTAGCAATGTGCATCAATTTTGTCAGCGAGAGTTCTCAAGATGATACGCAGTCTTTATGTTCAAAAACAGCTCATTCCACGCAACTCTACCGGTGACAAACACCACAGAGGCACGGCGGAGAAACGAAAGACAAAAAGCACGTACAAAACAGAATATTAAAAAAAAATAATTAAAAATCAAAGGAGTTAGATCAGACTGATGAAATGAAAAAGGTTGGGAAAAAAACAGGAAGAAAAGGTAAGGGTGGAGAAGGCTGCCAAGGATAAAACACTAAAGGCAGAAGGTACAGGGTAGAAAAAAAATCAAGCGGAGGAGATGGAATGAAAATGAAAAACATAGAAGGGGGAAAAAAAAGGATTTAGGCAGAGGCAGCTCAAGAGGGAGTTTGAACAAAAAATTTGTTCCCCAAGATCTGTGCCTTTCTGTCATCCTGCTCTGATTAACGGGCTGCCTTCCAGCTCCCAGCCGGCTGCTTTCCTGGCAAAAAAAAAAAAAAAGAAAGAAAGAAAATTAGTGTAGAGAGAGAGAGAAAGAAAAATCTGCGCTCCCCTCCCTGCTGGCTTCCTGGAGTAGGCGGGGTCTGTTGAAAGGTTACATTTGCACAATGTGCCTCTGGAAAAGCATGCCGGGGGAGGGTGATTGAGAGAGGAGAGGGAGATTGGGAGGGGGGGGGAGGAGGACAGAGGAGAGAGAGGAAGGGAGCCAAGCCATTCTGCAGAGTCTGTGTAATGGAAAAAACCCTCTGGGGACATGCAGAAAAATATCAAGTTACACTCACTCAGTACAATGCCTGCTCCAAAAAAAAATATATATACAACAAAACAACCTCCCTGTCTGTGCTGTGCTGTGGAAAGAAAGCTCTTTCAAAGGGAACAGTTTTTTGATCTGAGCGAATTGTTCAGTCTGCAGCACTTCTTAAACCGTGGGTGCGAAAAAGAGGACAAATTATATTGAAAACAAAGTCAGAACGGGATTTTCTTTCTGTTTGAGACCCACTGGGAACCAGAGAGGCTGATAGCACACACTACGTCGCGATCCGCTGTGCACAACTCGGTCATAGAGGGGGTTAATTTGCAGAGAAGCGAAGCCGAGCCGCAATCCTGTAACAACAAAACAAAACGAGAGAGATGTTTTAATATTATATATATATATATATAAAAAATAGGAAGAATAGAGCCGGTTTGTGTAGGTCTGTTAATTGTACAGCCTGCAGTGCTCGCGAAAAAGCGTTGGAAAAAACAAAACAAGATGTCAAAGAGGAATATGTCTGCATATTTAAAACATGAACATTGAAGTAAAAATACAAAACAAAAAAAAACAAAAAAAAAAGGAAAAAAATAATTGTGCGGTGAATTGGATTGACAAATGAACTGAGATAAAAGTCAGCCTGTAAAGGTTCGTGCCTCCATTTCTAAGTGCAGAATTCTTTGGAGTTTAGTTTCAAGCGTTATAATCAGCCTCCAAACACACACTGCGTATAAAACGTGTGTGGAAGAGAAAAACACTGACCTCTATCAGCAGAAAGGCACCGTCTGTACTGGCTATAAAAGTTTATTGGCCAGAGTCACTATGTTAGATTCAATCTATTATAGTAATCAGTACAAAAACAAGCGTTTACTTACTGTAAAAGGCCTTATGTTATGAGCTGCGATGCCTCACAGGGTGCTATTTTGCTGCAATTTAAAATGCAGTGACCTCATGTCCAGTAGAACTCAGACTCTGAAATTGTAAATCAGTTTCAGATTTTTGGCTCAACGTATGTACGTTTTTACTGGATCCAAATAGTTGCAAAGAATCTTGAGAAACACTACCGATTTTCTGCTATAGCATTGGACCTTTATCGAACAGAAAATGTACACTCCTGATGAGGAAAGCATTGACTTCATGCTTTACTATGGGGATTTCACTGATGCTGGATGTCCTAATGCAGAGAGTTAGGACGTCCACTGTCCATTAGGCACCCTAAAGCAGGGCCAGATTAAGAACCCAGTGGGCCTGGAGCTGACAATTATGATGGGCCTAATTACAGAATCTTATCGACCAAAAACACTAAAACAGTCATACCTCTCAAGCATCATGTATCTGATGGAGATGGTGTTGGAGGGAAACTCAAAAGATGCAGCTATATGAAAACACATACTCTATGCTAATCTCTCTCTAATTATTTTTTCATCTTTCAAGTAAATCCATACCCCCTAACAGAAGTGTCCGGTGTAGCAGGAAGTCAATGGGCAGGGTAAAAGGGTGGGCCACTGAAGAGAATCACATGACCAGCTCTGCCAAAAGGGGTGAACATGCCCAAAAAGGGGACATGTTTGTCCACAGAATTGGAAGGTCAACCTGGCATGAATGCATGTGCCAATCGTGCAGGCTGTCCAACTAAGGGTATACTATGCAGGCAGCCCCCTGAGCTTGGCATAAATGCGTCTAATGATGCGCTCACTCCATGCTTTCTAAGGACTGTCCCCTAGCACTCACATGTCCACTTGTCTCCTTACCTTCTTACTAGCAGGCAGAAGTTCCTGGTATATGGTCTGGGACAGAGGAAAGGTGCATGTAGTGAGTGTAGAAGAAAGGGGACATGCCACAGTGTTAGAGAGACCAACATCTGCATTACCTAAACTAATTTATTGTTAGCCAGTCCACACAAGTTTTGTTCCTATACATCCCTCTTAAGCTTCCAAACTTAAAGGGACACTATAGTCACCATAAAAACTACAGCTTATTGTATTTGTTCTGGTAAGTAGACTGACTTACTTCAGGCTTTTTGCAGTAAACACTGTCTTTTCAGAGAAAATAACTCCACTGGCCACTCCTTAGATGGCTGCTAGAGGTGCTTCCTGGGCAGTACTGCCTAGTGTGCAGCACTGCCATTCGGTGTATCCACCCTCTGCATGCAGACACTGAACTTTCCTCATTTAGATGCATTGATTCAATTTATCTTAATGAGAAGATGCTGATGGGCCAGGGATATGTTTAACTTGTGCTGGCTCTGCCCCTGATCTGCTTAGTTGACAGTCTCAGCCAATCCTATGGGGAAGCATTGTAATTTGCTCAGACCACCACTGATGATGCCAGCAGACAGTCAGTTCAGAGTCAGAGCCAGCAGCTGCAGACTTGAATACAAGCATGATTTTAATATATTTAGATAGGCAAGAGGGGGCCAGGGGGGCTAGATGGTGGTTTTAACATAAAAGGGTCAGAAATACATGATTGTGTTCCTGACCCTATAGTGTTCCTTTAAGTAAGATTATGTGAAGAGTAATTAGGGTTGCCACCTTTTTTGGAAAAAAATACCAGCCTTAATCATTTGTATAATTAATTAGTTATGCGTGACATCACATGATGTAAATCACAAGGAGTGACATAAGAGAAAATTCTGTAATATCACAAAAAAACTACTCACAGTTTGATTCTGCTGTATAGATGGATTGCTCCCAGTGTCTCCCTGTCTCTCAGTGTCTCAGTCTCGCAAATCACCCAGTGTCTCAGTGTCCCTATGTATCACAGTGTTAGTGTCCCCATGTCGCCCAGTCCCCTAGTCTCCCAGTGTCTCAGTGCGTCCCAATGTCACTAGGATACTAGGGCACACGGTGAGACATGGGACACAGAAACCCGAGGACACCGAGACACTTGGGGACACTGGGAGACATGGGGGCACTTGTGGATACAGACATGGGGACACTGGGAGACATGGGGACACAGACATTTGGGGATACTAGGAGACATGGAGACACTGGGAGACATGGGGACACTGAGACATTTGGGGACACTAGGAGATATGTGGACACTGAAACATTTGGGGACACTAAGACACTAGGGACACAGAGATATCGGAACACAGACACTGGGAGACATGGGGACACTGAGACACTGGCTGGGAGACAGATACTTGGAGACATGGGGACACTGGGAGACATGGAGACACTGAGACATTTGGGGACACTAGGCACACTGAGAAACATGCGGACACAGACACTGGGAGACTTGGGGACACTGAGCATTGCAGGACTAAGTGGGTCAGGTGGCAAACCTAAGAGTAGTGTGTAAAAAAAAGTACTAACAATTTTTTTTTTTTTAAATGGGCCTATTCCATGGGCCTGGAGCTGCAGTTACATCACCCCTTATGTTAATCCGGTCCTGCCCTAAAGTCCGGTAAAATCCCGGAAGTGCCTCTAGTGCCTTTCTGGTAGGTTGTCTTAGTGCTCTCTTGTAAACATTGTAGTTTCTCTAAAACTGACACTCTCACAGACTCACGCACTGCCACTGATTAAAACACACCAGTTTATGAGTTGGACAGTAAAGACGTCACATTGATTAATGAAAGTAATTCCACCCAGAACGTATTGCCCTGCCTCCCACTTTAATCAGCTCACACCATGGTATATCACTCAATGCATTCTCATAGGCTGACCCACCAATGACAATCCATTGCTAAAACTGGTTCAAATTACTTTGAGCTCAAAGATAATCTGCTGAATCTTTAAATTGAGAGGATATTATCAAACATCCGACATTTTATGTTGTCATTAACAAGCAACCAGTAAGCATTGTTTACACCAGGGATAGTCAACCTTTACCTACTGCCCACTTTTGTATCTTTGTTGATGGTAAAATGTCCTTACCGCCCACTAGTGCCGCAGTAACTAATTTTATAGCGCAAGTGTGATTTTTTTAAAATTGTATTTATTTATTTTTAATTGTTTTTAGAAAGAAGGGTTGTTTTTAATATGTACTTAGAGCACCACTATAGACACCCAGACCACTTCAGCTTAATGAAGTGGTCTGGGTGCCAGGTCCATCTAGGGTTTATTTTTTCAGAGAAACTGCTATGTTTACATATGGGTTAATCCAGCCTCTAGTGGCTGTCTCATTGACAGCCACTAGAGGCGCTTCTGCACTTCTCACTGTGATTTTCACAGTGAGAAGACGCCAGCGTCCATAGGAAAGCATTGAGAATGCGCGCGCAGCTCTTGCCCCGCATGCGCATTCAGCCGATGACGTCCGAAGGAGGAGAAGAGTCCCCAGCGCCGAGGGAGCCCGGCGCTGCAGAAAGGTAAGTTTAACCCCTTCCTCCAACTTCAGCCCGGCGGGAGGGGGACCATGAGGGTGGGGGCACCCTCAGGGCACTATAGTGCCAGGAAAACAAGTTTGTTTTCCTGGCACTAAAGTGGTCCTTTAAATTTCTATTTGTTTTCCTTTTTTTTGATTTGCTCTTCTACTTTTTTTTTCTATGTGTGTCTGTGAGATACTGTGTGTGTTTGTGTGAAGGGTGTGAATGGTGTGTGTGTGTGTGAGTTGAAGTGTGTATTGTGTATGAGGGGGCAGTGTGTGTGTGAGGGTGCAGTGTAGGTGTGAGGGGGCAGTGCGTGTGTGCGAGGGCAGTGGGTGTGTGAGGGGAGCAGTGGGTGTGTGAGGGGAGCAATGCATGTGTGGGGGAGGGGTGTAGTGATGGGTGTAGTGTGCATGTGAGGGGTGTAGTGTGCATGTGAGGGGAAAGTCTGTGTAAAGGGGCAGCTTGCGTGTGCATGAGTGGTGCAGTGTGTGTGAGGGGGCAGTCTGTGTGTGCATTAGGGGTGTAGTGTGTGTGAGGGGGCAGTGTGTGTGCATGAGGGGTGTAGTGTGTGTTTGTGTGTGAAGGGTACATAGGGTCTATGCTGTGTGTAGGTGAGTGAGATGTGAAAATCTGAAACTAAGTGCCAGCAGGCGGGGAGGGAGATCTTTGATCTCCTCACCAGCCCGAGAGGGCTTACAGCAAGGCTGGCTCTGCATGGGCCGGCAAGCTAGATGAAAGGACCCACCACCGCCCACCTGAAATCCCAAACCGCCCAATGGTGGGCGGTAGGGACCAGGTTGACTACCCCTGGTTTACACTGACGAGGAGATGTGTGCGCCCAGTGGCGCCTCCAGGATTCATACTTAGGGGGGCACATAAGGGGCCAGGGACAAAGGTAGGGGGGCAGTTAAAAAACATGTATATATATGTGTGTGTGTGTGTATATATATATATATATATATACATACACACATACATACACAGGGATCGACAAATTCCAGGCGCCATGTCGCCATGGCGACTAGATATTTCTCCCTGGCACCTGACATTTGACAGCCTCTTGCTTAAGCCGCGCAGGAAACAATAAAGCCGGCAGACACGGGGAATATGAAGGCGGCGTGTGAGGGAGCAGTAACCTTCCTGCAGTTCCTCTCTGCTCCCTTGCGTGCTGTTTAGTGACATGATGTTACTCTGGGCCCGGCATCACTAAGAAAATGCAGGAAGATTGAAAGGAAACACGCGAGATGCCAGGGAAAGATTCACTCAGCTCTCCCAAAGGTAGGAAGTCTGGGTGGATTTCAATGTGCATGTGTACTGGGATTGCATTGTATGTATGCAAATGTGTAAATATTCCCCTTTCCCATATCTTACCTTGCAGGAAAGGGGGTGGCACAATCCGTGGTGGTTGACAAGGCTACCTATCCATCGGGTACAGGGGAGGTCACAAGATGAGATGTATCTCTCTTGGAGCTCAAGCACTTACGCAGACTCACCCATACAAACCCACAAACTGAACCTTACACATACACAGACTGACCCATACACACACATACAGACTTCCCCCCACACAGACTGACCCATACATACGCACACAGTCTGATCCCCCACACATACTGACTCATACATACACAGACTGACCTTTCCACATACAGACTGACCCATACACACACACACACACACACACACTGGCCTTCCACACACAAACTGCCCCATACACACACACACAAAGACTGCCCCATACACATACAGACTGCCCCATACACACACACACTGACCCCCCACACACAGACTGCCCCGTACACACACACACACACAAAGACTGACCCATACACATACAGACTGACCCATACACACACACAGATTGGCCCATACACACACACACAGACTGACCTCCCTATATGAAGACTGACCAATACACACTCTGACTGAACCATACACACAAACTGACCCCCACATACACAGACTGATTCCCCCACCCACCACACACAGACTGATCCCCACACACACAGACTGAACTCCACACCCATACACATACAGACTGACCCCTAACCCCACACACAGACTGAGCCCCCACACACACAAACTGAGCCCCCCCCACACACAGACTCACCCATACACACAAACTGACCCAAACACACAGACTGACCCATACACACAAACTGACCCCCCCACACACAGACTGAACCCCACACCCATACACACTGATGCCCCCCCCACACACACAGACTGTCCCAACCTACACAGACTAACCCATACACACAGGCTGACCCATGCACACAAACTAACCCCCATCCACACACAGACTGACCCCCCACCACACACACACACACAAACACACTGATCCCCACACACACAGACTGCCGCCCCCAAACAGAATGACCACCCTCCCACACACACACACACACACACACACTGACCCATACACACAAAGACTGACCCCCCCTCCCCTACACACACAGACTGAATCACACACACACACTGACTCACACTTACCAGCACCTGCCTGGACTCCTCATTCCCCCACATTCAGTGCAGAGCTGAGTTTCCTCTCCCCTGCGCTTCTCTCTGCCCACACATAGAGCCAGGGCTCTGTTTCTGTGAGTGTTGTGTTTGTTAGAGTGTTTGTAGTGCCTGTGTTTAGTGTGTGTTGAGGAGGCTGAGAGTTGTATTGGGACTGAATGTGTGCTGGTTAATTGTTGTGTGTGGTGGCAGAATTTGGTATGTGTGTTTTGCCCAACCACTTGCTTACCTTCCTTGGTGGGCCAATGGAGAGTGAGCATGATCTCTGGTGGTCCAGTGGAGGATGTGCAGGATCCCTTCTGGTTGAGTGAGCAGAGCTCTATTGCCTGTACCAATATCAGGTATAGACCACCTTGAGGTTGCAGCTCTTAGTCAATGACTCAGAGCGTGTGGATGGCGATGGTGCTCTTAAAATGACCAGTACCTGATATTGGTACAGACCACAACGATCCCTCAATGAAGTTGAAGTTCCAGGTCCAGATAGGGACACACCAGCTCCTGTCTGAGCCCGAGCCATAGGTGACCACCTTGGTCATCTACTGGGTAATCCGG